GTACTTCGTTGTGTCGTCACTGGAAGCGCTGTCCCAGCACAAACCTGTGTCATATGACGCCTTACCGTTATGTCGTCACCGGAAGCGCTGTCCCAGCTCAAACCTGTGTCATATGACGCCTTACCGTTATGTCGTCACCGGAAGCGCTGTCCCAGCTCAAACCTGTGTCATATGACGCCTTACTAAACGATTTTGGCTAAAATTCCGCTCCGCCGCCTCTTTACAACAGTGTTTATACGCGGAACTTGATATTGCTTTTTACAATTTGGGTTGCCTTTGAATCACATATCTTAGTGAAATATTGTTTATAGAGTGAAATATTATTGTCATACATAATTCAATCTTTGAAACAACAGAAACTAACACATAATAACGATAATCAAATTTGTGTTTGAAGTTCGAAAGTAGTTGCGTTATTTCCGGTTTCAACTAGTTCGAAAATAGAACGTCCTTGAGCGCAATAAAATCACGCGTAGAACTCTATCCGAACCAGTGCAATTTGCGCGATTTGGGCCCAGTTTGTTCTTACAAGCTTTCTAAGTTTCATTTATCATTATTTAGTAAACAGGTCTCTGAAACGATTTAATATATCCGTAAAATACGTGGCAATCGACAATTGACTTCGAAACGTTCGAAATTTCGAACAAACTCCCGGCACACCTAGCGCGATATGCGTCAGATCGGTGTAGAAGACGCCGAACTGCAGTCAGACCACCTAGAAATATGGCGTTGAGTTCGGTCGTGAGCATTTTCTCCGCATTCGTATCCGCACAGAGATCGATGTAAATTTTATTATAATAGGAGATAAGCAATTTCAAAGATAAATGCAACAAGTTTTCAACCCAAGATAGTTATTTAGAACGCCGTTAGAGACGTTTTCATTACAGCTACTGGGCCTTTAATGTTAAAAAATCATTATAATGAAGCATCATTTTCTGGATCCATACTTCTGATATGTTTATGTTCAAACTATATTACTATAAACAAAATTATATATCATAAATTTGATAACTAACTGGGACTGTGCCATGCATGGCTTGTTATTATAAATCTGGCAGCAAAAAAAAGAATTTGACTGTTCATATGTATGAATACATTACAGATGTCTACTTATTATGAGTCATATTTACATCACGTCTTTACACTTTTCTTTGTTTACATCAGAGACATCAACAATGCATGATGTACATACAATCACAGGCACAGGCATAATTTTTGTAAATTTTCACTTTTTGCCAGCATTTCAGGCTACTGACTAAAAGCATACATTTCTAACAATAATCTTATAAGGTTATCCCAAAGTATGCAGTCAGGCAAATCAGGATTGCATTGAAGCTTACCATACTGACTACATGTAATCTTTACAGTGTTCTTATAATAATCTCATACATTGCTTATCTTGATATCTTTTATGATTGCCTCATATTTACATGCATTACCAAATCATTATTAATAATCCAACATGTTGTTGACAGTAAAAGATACTTTCCAGTGTTGAATGTTTTGTATTTTACGCTGAAATCAACAGAGCCATGAGCATTACAAAATAGGAGTGATACACTATAAGACTGTACAGAGACTGAATTTCTGTTCCATTGATTAAGTTTATTACAACAGCTAACTAAAAATAATAACTAGTAATTGTAATAATTTTTTTACAAAACAGTAAATAGCTGATAACATTTAGTCAGGACAGATCTCTTAAAGTGAGCACTTAGCAGAATGAAAACAGTTGGCTTATAAATATTTGTTGAAATAACATTGACCCATGTTGGTTCAAACATCTACTGCTGGCAAAGATTGGAATACAACACAACACTTATTGCTACAAAATACATATTCAACAACTATAATAATTGTTATAATAATTTCTGATGGGATCAATGTATTAAGGTGGTAATATTTATTAAAATTAATTTCTACATAACTATCCTGGTATTGCAATTATTCCCCCAATTCATTTGACAACATTATAAAAGTCAATTTTATTTTCATGCAAGTCCCAATCCACACATGTTTCTATGCTATCAAGGCAATAATTGACAAACATATATTTTGTTGTATAACATTTTATAGCGTTTGTTGCCCCAATGCATCATGGTTTGAAATCCAAGACTATCTATATATCTGGTTACAGTTTCCAGTGAAGATAATCTGAATTCCACTGTACACATTGTACACCCTCATTATAGCTAAGAATGAATCATCATAAAACACAATATTTAGAACTCTGGTACCCAGCCGCACTGTGTACATAGTTTATTACAGCTACCATGGTGTTGTGTACAGCCTTTGTATCTTGCTATCACAGTACTAGGTAAGTTAGTGTGTGTTGCATCACAGTATGGCGGTACCTTGGTGTGTTTACATGCACAAAGCTGGTACAGAGTTTGCTGCTTCTTTGGTACAGTCCATTTGAGAGGTCTGAAACCAGTTCCTTTATGTGATCCTGAAACGTACACAAAACAAATAATTACTGACAGATGAAACACCCTACTACAACTAATAACTTGAAGTCTAAATGTATTAATTTCACCATTCAATGCAGTCACTGGTTAAAATCCACTGTTCAATAACTCAATCTGGAATTAAAGGAAAAACTCACTGGGACTATGACATGCAATAATTTGCTTGGCCTCACATGCTATGTATCATTACTGCCTATATGTTTGAGTGTTCTTCCATGGCATCTCAACTGACACAAAATTAAGTCCAGAGAAATCACATACAAAAACTGTTAACAAAATCCAGCCAAAATTCACTGTCCTAACATTTTGTGAAAGTAAAGGAATGTTTAGAAATTACTCACCATCGCACCAAGGTTGTTTTTTACTCAAACCACAGACGCACCAATGTTTTGTGTCCCCAGGTTTCAAACCATAACAATTACAAGGTCCATACTGTAATATGTAATAATATTTGCTTGAGAGATTTATATGGATTTGTTGCAAATGAGATATAACCACACGAGGCACTGTCGGTGAATAGATGATTGTACATATTCTTGTACACATACATTTGCATGCAATCAGATAACAACACGTAATATTTATATATATATACGTAGAATGCATTTTCGACCAAGAGAGTACTAATAGTGCACACAAATTGTTTCGACGGTCATTCGAGGGCTGATCCCTATTTTATGCTACAACCTACAAAGGACTAAGGCCACATTCAATCAGCTGGCAAGCTCGGGTTGTATAAGACGGTCCAAATGTACAATTTCATATGTACGGGATAGCGGCTATGTGTGAATGAAGCCAGTCCCGATTGGCGAGAGTGCCGATCTATTTATACCTGCGCAACAGCGGGAACTAATGCCTTTGGTTGGGTGCTGTCATCTGTCGGTTCCTTGCCCTCGGTTGTCATTGAACGGAAAATAGGGTGGACTTTACGTGTTGTGTCAAGATATATTCGACGATATATAAAGCCTGCCATGGATTGTAACAGAGCAGAACGCCAGACGAAATCATCAGGTGACCTATCACATGACTGTCCATCATCATTCTCCTTCCCAGAGCTCTTTGCGGTTACAGCGAAAGTATAAAACCGCGTGGAGATAAATTCGTAGAAATAGAACTCTGCGTGAGAGACTGGGTCATCAGATGTCATAATCAAAGCGAGGAAAGTATAAAAAGAAACAGTTTAATCACTGTTGACTCGAATATGGGACACATAGCGACGTATACAACGCATGAAAATACATTGTTTGTTAACATGAAATTCGAACACGAGCTGGGCATCAACCACCAGTTGAGCGAGGCTAACCGAGTCGTGACCTCGATGTGGTTCGTAACCAGTCTTGTGATTGGTTGTTGACAAGTGCTGAACAGGCCACTGTGCCATGCGTTCGGGCAAACCGTTAGGAATTCCTAAATGGAGTAAATTTGTGTAGTTTTCTTGATTTATTCTGCAGATATGGGTAAAATGTAGGTAAGGCTTTGACGAAATTCGAAGGAGTAACTAATATTCTTCAACCTGGTATTTTTTTTAGATTTTATTTTTCATTCCTTTCGTCTATTTTTCGAGTTTAAAAAATGTTAGCTGGCTGGAGCCTTCATCCCTTGTCCATTTCTTACACTAGATACCAGCCGATACCCCCCCCCCCCCGCTCATAGGGAGTGCGTACAGTTGATCATAGTTCCTGGGCTCCCTGTGGTATGATCATTGGGATGACTTTTTTCAGTGTTCCAAACCACTCTCATAAAACACATTACTTTGTGAGATGAAGTTTACACATACTATACTAACTCATATTATTCCGATATTTCAAAAGAGTATATTTACACTAGTAAATTAAAAAAAATTAACAGCCTTCTGTTATTTCTTGCAAAGCTGAGGTACCATATATCACTCGGTATAAGGCTCGAATATGTAATTTCTGAACGGAAAAGAAAAGACAATTGATTTTACAGTCTAGATTCTAGATGTTATACACGCATACATTATGAATGGGTTGTAATTTGTCATTATTTGTATCCTGTGCTGTTATGTAACAATTTATTTGAAATATAATAAAACAAAAATAAACATTTAAATACAAAACAGGATATTGTGACATTTATTGTGAGTGGACAGTCGCAATTGTTATATGTCACTTGAAAGATTGCACATTCATTATGGGCGTAGACAATGTTAAGCTCTCGTGCAAATCACACATAAAATAAAGGCAAAAACAAAGTTAAACAAACAACACGGAAAAAGCAAATCCAAATTAATAAATAGAAAATTTGAAAAAAAAAATATGTTCATGATCTTTTACAAACAAAGCACATTTGGGAGGAAGGGATGGAAATATTGAGTGTGAAACTGGGATTGGCTTTACAATGAAATAGCGACCAAACATAAAAAATGTCCACCACTGAAACATGACATTTCATTGATAACCAGAGATTGTCCGACCTGTACATCCAACCTATCTAGCGACAAACACTTCTGTCAAATTTTAAAGTAGAATGCAATGCAGGGACAAAAATCAATTTCTGGAGTAGAATATAGTGATAACTTTAGTTAGCCCGTTCAGCATGCTTGGGTAAATATAGATGAAGTAGAGTAGAATGTAGTGACATAGTTAGATTGCTGGATTCTAGAGTAGATTATAGTGGTACATTGCCAAATGTTGGCCTAAACTACTGTTGCAAAGTTAGATGGCCCATTTCTTGGGCAAGATACAAAGGCATGGTTAGATGACCCTATTCTGGATTAAATCACCGTCGCAAAAATAAATTTGCAGCTTCGAGAGTAGATGCAGTTATAGTGTAGAATATAGTGACAAAGTTTGTATTTGTAATATTACAACATATCCATCATACGACTCTTATGTGGTGGGTGGTTATTAAGCTCAGTTCTGTGTGCTATTTTTGAAGTTTATTTTTATTTTCACGAAAATTAATGTGCAATTTCAATGGAATCATTGAATCATTCATTTTTACATGATTTGATCCCTCAAACACTAAATAGTTGGTTTAACGACCGAGTCAACAACGTATTCTTCAAACCGAACAACACTTAAATATAGCAGAACAGAACATTGCGTGCTTCTTATGGTAACCTTAAAATAATTTTAGATTTCCATTGCGGAATATTTTGAAGTTGACATCAGTTCAACAAACATCAAACGTTTGATTTTCGACATTTACGTTGAACCTATTCTGCAACCTTTAGTGGTTTGTTGGTGAAAAGAGTAAACAACATCGGCTTAAATAAAAATAAAGTCTTCATACGTATTACTGCGATATATTAAGGCTACATATCTACTTCACCTTTCCCCTGTTCGATGTCACATGGATTTAGTCAAAAGTTATATATACAACGTGACATATAAAGCCCACACACCACTCTTGGTCTACAGTTCATTATTAGTGAATTGCAGATATCTGGTTATATACTGAATATATTGACATTCACGGTGTCATGTGATCTATATTATCGTCAGTAACAAGTATCGTTACATATAACATAATTTTGTTTAGACTGTAATATCCGATTTCTATTTTGAGTATCAATTGGGATTAATTAAATTAGTTATATTTTTTTTCAAATGTAACAGAAATTACTACTGAATACATGAATTGTTTTTGCATGAGCTACTTATCCCTGATTGAGATCGTGGAATTAACAGCCAGTGGAAAAATGAACATATTGAGACACGTTCGAAAGCCTCATTGCAATACACGCGCTTTTTAGTGTCTTTTATGTATTCTATTGTTTGTACACTAACATTCCTTAATGCATATACATTATGTCCCTACCAAAGGATGATAACATCATTAGCTATTACCTTGCACAGAATAGCGTCTTTAATGCATATACATTATGTCCCTACCAAAGGATGATAACATCATTAGCTATTAGCTTGCACAGAATAGCGTATTTAATGCATGTACATTATGTCCCTACCAAAGGATGATAACATCATTAGCTATTACCTTGCACAGAATAGCGTCTTTAATGCATATACATTATGTCCCTACCAAAGGATGATAACATCATTAGCTATTACCTTGCACAGAATAGCGTCTTTAATGCATATACATTATGTCCCTACCAAAGGATGATAACATCATTAGCTATTACCTTGCACAGAATAGCGTCTTTAATGCATATACATTATGTCCCTACCAAAGGATGATAACATCATTAGCTATTACCTTGCACAGAATAGCGTCTTTAATGCATATACATTATGTCCCTACCAAAGGATGATAACATCATTAGCTATTAGCTTGCACAGAATAGCGCCTTTAATGCATATACATTATGTCCCTACCAAAGGATGATAACATCATT